GGGCAGAGAGGGGCGAGGAGATCCGTCAGAGCCGGCTGCACCGCATCGCTTCCTGAGAGGCCATTGCCGTCCCAGTCGCTGAGAGGGCTCTCGGGATAAATCATCAGTCAGTTGTGGAGAATTTTTAGGTAGTAGCGACTAGACTCGCTTCCAGGGGATGTTCCACGTTCTAAGGATTTTTTTTTTTTTTCCTTTCTGTAATATAAATCGTACCTAAGAAAGTGTTTATCTTTAGCCTGTGGTAAATATGAATAGGCTAATCTTTAGGAGCACTTTTAAGGTGGATTAAGAGTTTATATAGAGAGTCATCAGTAAAGCCTGTCTGTTTTCTTATAAGGAGCACTACACCGAAGAATGTCTGGAAGTTTCTACTTTGTGATCGTTGGTCATCATGACAATCCCATATTTGAAATGGAATTTCTGCCTCCTGGAAAAGTAGAGTCCAAGGTGTGTTTCTTTTTCCCTCTGATACTCCTATGATGTAATTATGGTGTGTTTTCTTTGATAATTTTACAGAGTATTAGAAGCATGACCAGCATGTTCTTAAAAACTAGTATCCAGGGTTTTTTTCACAGAAACTTTGTCATAGGGAGTAGAACTCTGGAGTTCTTGAGTCTCTTAAAAATTCTTTGCCAGATCGTATGCTAGTTCTTCCTAAAACACGGTTTCCTTAAATATTCAGTGCTGTATGGTCAGGAACATATATCCACTAGTCATGCCTTTGTCATTGCTCATAGTGTGTAGAGCTTTTGTAATAATGCCACTTGCTGTCATTCCCTATTTTAAGGCATCTGTGTAGAGTAATAGGGCAAAGTAAGGAACAAATTTGGAAGCTCTATGCAATCCTTTATTTTTTATGCTATAAAGAAAAAACTTTATTTTTAATCATCCTCAATAATCATACTTGCTTTTAAGTAGGAAATGTTTAAAACTTGTATTGATAAATATGTGTTTGAAACTGTGAGAAATGTAAGACTACTCAGCAAGTAGTGTTTCCAGGGGGAAAAGAATAAATCTATCCATTATGATAGTACATAGGAAAAAAAACAAACTTCAGAATAGAAGTGCATAGATCTGTGAGTGTGTTAAAAAATGGAGGTGTATTCTGGCTCTGATTTGAACAGCTTGGTACCATCTGTATTGTGAACTAGTGCCCCATAAAAGATCGTAAATAAGGCTAGTTGGACTAGACTTACTGAGTGTGAAAACGTGTCAGGTGGTAGAAAAAAATTTTCTGCATTCTGCTAATGGAAATAGCTTGCCTCACGTGACTTTCTTCTCTGACTGAAGTTGAAGTACTAAATAGGAAGTACTAAATTTTCTCCTAAGAGAGAATCTAAACTTGATGTGCACTGAAGAAAAACTAGTAGATATAGTCTTAAGAAGAGAAGACTGGAAGGGCACCTTACTAATGTGTATAAATATGTGAGAGGTGGGTGTCAAGAGGAACGGGCCAGTCGCTTGTCAGTGGTGCCCAGTAATAGGATAAGGAGTAATGGGTATAAGCTAAAACATTGGAAGTTCCAGGTCAACATGAGGAAAAACTTGTTTACTATGAGGGTGACAGAGCCCTGGCACAGGCTGCCCAGAGAGGTTGTGGAGTCTTCTTCTATGGAGACTTTCAAAACCTGTCTGGACGCGTTACTGTGCAGCCTTCTCTAGGTGATCCTTCTCTGGTGAGGGGTTGGACTAGATGATCTCTAGAGGTCCCTTCCAACCCCAAATGTTTTATGATTCTGATATGTTTTGGCAATTATTGCTTCTGAGACATGCTCTTTAGGAGTCAATTCAGTACAGATGTGCATCTGCCTGAACTAAGTGGTTTGCATAATGTACATCGTAAATCAGCACAAGTTTTTTGCCCCTTAAAAACTTTATGACTTAGTCTCTTTGTCAGTATGGTTTAATGGAACTTGCAAAGTTGTTAATGCTCTGAGCCAAACTTGACTTGGGGGGAAAAACAGTGTGCTGAGAGCTGTCTGAGAGTGGCATTAATAGCATCCCCATGTTATGAGAACCAGTGCAAGACTACATGTTTCTAGTCTAATAGAAGCTTACTGTATGGTTTAGTCCCGTATTTCTTCTTGGCAGATGTTCTTCAGTGTTCTAGTTTGTATACAAAGTAAATGGCTCTTTTTCCCAAACAACTCTTGCCAAACACTGTGATCACCCTTAGGAAGGTCATTCGTGTTTATTATAGGAAGAGAGGCAGTTTATATTTTAGCATATATGTAATACTGGTTGCAGGATATTTTTCTATGCTAGGCTGTTAGGAAAAAGAAACCCCCCAAAGCAATGAAACAATCCTGTGTTTCTAGGCAAATAACCTGAAAAAAACCCCACCATAAATTAGGTGATAATGTTATCAGTGTATCTGTCCTCTATATCTCTATGCTTTCCCCATCTGTCCCCCAACTTTTACATATTGTAAGCTATTGTTTACTTTCTGCCGAATTTGAAAAAGACCTTATAGTCCCAAAAATTTTAATTGCTATAAATTTCACAAAAACAGGTGTTTGCAAAGCAGAGAAAAAAGACTTTTATCAGGGCCTCTGTTGTGGTACAAATTTGCAGTGGGAGATTACCTGTTGGTAAACAAAAGAATTCATGCTTGAATTCATTACTAAGCTATAAATATACTTTATTGGTTTTGCTGCTGCTCTCATGACTATTTTTGTGATAACCATTTTATTATGACCTTTTTTCTCTCTTGAAACCAAGTATCATGACAATATGTACTAGTTTCATTTAATTACAGGATGGCATATATATGGCAGAAAAGAAGGGTATATGTAACCTTACGTAACTTGAACACTAGTTGTTTAGCAGCTTGAGGAAATTGTGGTTTATGTTTCACTCCTTTCACTGAATTACTAATCCTCTGTCTTCTGGAAATACGTTAGGATGATCATCGCCATCTCAACCAGTTCATTGCCCATGCTGCTCTTGATGTCGTAGATGAGAACATGTGGCTTTCTAACAACATGTATCTGAAGACTGTGGACAAGTTTAATGAATGGTTTGTTTCTGCATTTGTCACAGCTGGACATATCCTTCCCTCTTCTCTTTCCTTATATTTATATAGGGAAAGCCTTTTGCCAGAAAGGGACAAGTTTGATAAAATGCGTTTGGAACAGATTTCTCTGGCTCTTCACCACTATTGTTGTTAGAGTCAGCAGCTTCAGGATGGAGAAAGTTGAGAGGCACAGTAGTTGTTTAAAACTGGGACCAATTGGAAAGGTGGATTTTTGCTTCTGGAGGAGCTGAAATGGCCTAATGAAATGTGGAGATCACATGGGGGAAAGAGATACAAGAGGGTCCGAGCAAGCTTATGTGATTCTCTGTTCCCATCGCTTTGATAGTGCTAGAGAGGAGAAGCAGGGGTTAACATGCCTGGTGTCCATCACACCCATCTTGAAAGGGCAGTATAAAGACTGCAGGTGGTCCTAGAAGTGTTTGTTGCAAAACATTTGTTATAGGAGGCAAGCAAAACTGAATGTCATTTTAACTTCAGGGGTATACAGCAAAGGTGCTGAGATCATCTCTTTCAGAATTGTTTAAACCTTGAATAGAAGAGTGGTTATTTTCAATTAGGGGAATTCTTCTATATGAAGGTAATTATTTCTAAATTTCACTGCTTCAGTTACTTCTTTAAATGCTTCCTCCTGCAGAGTCACTGCTATTTCATCTACAGCTAAGCATTTTAAGTATATACAAGATATGTTAACTGTCTCTTTTATTTGTAAGAAAAAGATCCTTAATTGCTTTACATATGAGATTTATAATGCTTCATGATGTAAGGCAAGAAGATGGAATTAAGAACTTCTTTAATGATGTATATGACTTGTATATTAAGGTAAGAACCCATTTCTTAAGATTCTCCCTGCAGTACTTCTAAGTGTGTTTTGCTGTATGTGCTCGGGCATGCCTGTATTAGTGTATTTTCTTGTGGGGACCTGTATCAGTGGAGAAGCAGCCATGCTGCCCAGAGTTGATAACACCTGATATAAAGGTGGTATTTTTCCATTAAAATAATATATTTTTATAAATTATTATGAACTGTGGGTTTTCTGAATTTTTCATTTTAGTGCAGTGATTTTGGGCAGCACTGTGTCCATGATGGCATGATGAAAGCAGAAGTCTGTTGTACAGAAGCCTGGTGGAAGCGCTGCTCGCTAAGCGCACGCAGCCCGTGCTCTCACCGCCGGGCAGCACTTCCCGAGCTGGGGCACTGGCAGGCGCGGACTGGGAGGGGACCACCTGCAGGGCCTCAAATGATGGTGATTTCCACCAGAAATTTCCACCAGTGTTGTGATGGATTTGTTCCGAGGAGCTGGCTGTGCACACATATGGGGAGATTCAAGGGCCTGGAAAGCAAGTGGCACTAATTAGGATGAAAGCTACTAACATAGTTGCCATTTGAAATAAGATTTTCCAGCGCTGGGCATCGTGCTTACTGATGCGTTTTTCTTCTTTCCTCAGTTCGCAATGAACCCATTTTATGAACTCAATTCTCCTATTCGATCGAGTGCCTTTGAAAGGAAAGTACAGTTCCTTGGGAAGAAACACCTTTTAAGCTGAATAAATACCTTTCCTGAGTGAGTTCTTTTTCTATACTTCCCTGATTATTTGAACTGTAGTTCTTCTGTTTAGCCCTCAGCATGTTTGATACTCATATTCTGAAGATCGACAAATTGGATTCTGAAGCAGCTTGCTTTTTTTTTTTTTTGGCCAATACAGAAAAGAATAACCAAGTCTCCTTTTATGTGATATGAAAACTAAGTTTAAAAATGCTGTGGGGCAGAATAGGTACAAACTGAAATGTGGTTAATTTTGTTGTAAACTTTTCAACTTGCAGTCCTTCCCTGGAGAACTTACCCTGCAGACTAACCAGACTAACCTTACTCTTTGTGATATTAAATCAAGTCTGTATTTATATTGTAATGTCTAATGTATATATTACAAAACACTCAATAAAAAGAAAATCTCAGCAAAGCTCTATCTTTGGTATTTCAGGAAGTTTTGAGAAAACAACATGAAGTTTTAAAGCTTAAAATTTCAAATTTACTAGATGTTTAGTGCAATACATGATTAGCTGCAGTGCTGCATCAATGAAATGAAGTAGTCCTAACAGCTATGTCTGCTTTGACTTCAATTCTAATTTGCACATGAAATAAACTAAACTTACATGTTTAAGCCCACCTCTTTCCATTATCTCTGCAAGTGCTGAAGTTTCTTTTTTGAAATATATTTAGAGTAGGATCTTTGAACTATGAATCTCTTTGTTGAGGTTTCAGAAGGGCATCATTTGGCCTGTCTGGCTACTGTTCCATTGTGAAATGCAGTTTGCAAAATTTACCATCATTCCAAACCTGTATTTTTAAATGTGTCATTTGACATACACGTACCTAATATTTTGTTTGGTTTCACAATCTTTTAAGTAGTCTGTTAGCGGTTTTTTGCAGCAAATCTGCATAAGCTATCTTCTTGAACATTTTTCTTTGTTACCCATTTTTAGAAAAGTAATTTCTAAAAGGAAGTGGCATGCTGATCTAGGAAGCACATTTTGCAGAGTCTATAATTAAAGGGACCACATGTGTACATGCTTTAAATTTCTTCGTATTTATGTGTACTGCTGAACTGTCACTGTAAAATATTCCATAAGAAAAAGAACATGCTATAAAGGTTGCAGTATTCACCTTAAATAAAACATGGAACATTGCAGTATGGATGCCTCTTGGGTATACTTGGAAGTGATTTAGGAGAAAACTGGACTATCACAGTAAGGCAGCCTTTATTAGTGGGGTGACAAGTGAAGATGGAATACTTGTCTTTCCAGTTTTATGTAATGAAAATGACATTGGACAACATTTTGATAATCTCATATAATCTTACATAAATCAACTGGGTGGTTTTTTGCTGTATATGTGGAAGCAACAGAAACACACTTGAGGGTAAAGAGTGGTTGTTTATATGATCAGGAACCATTAAGTTGGAACTGTTACGCTGTTTTCTGCCTTCTCCCCAGTAGCACAACAGTTGGAAAAATACTAACAGTTAAGATTCACTGTGGAGATACTGATGTTAAATAATCATATATGTAGCATTAAGAAAAGTTTTGGCAAAGATGAAGGATTAGTGCTAAGAGTTTCCACCACTTTAGAAACTGTGGCTTTTTGTGTTTTTTTTTTCTCTTCTGCCAGTACACAGTAGGCAGCTACACAGAATAATGCAGAGATAAAACACTTTCATTTCGGAAGGCAGTTAGCCAAGTGGTCTCTGTTCTCGTGCCTCCCCCATACATCTTTCCCCTTTTCTTCTGAATATAGGAAATGTAAATGGGAAATTTGTCAGTCTCATATGTCCATCTAAGCTTTATGAAAACAGGTTGTTACTGGCCACAGGCAAGGGAGAATTATGGCCCGAGTCATTACGTTAATCGTTAACAAAGTTTGTGGTGAGGAACTTTGTCTCATGACCAAATTGTTAAGGCCCTTGGCTTGGCAGCAGTGATTTCCCTGTGTACAGAGGAACACTGGCTCATGCTTTGCTTTGTGACTTTCCACAATAAGGTGAAAGGCTGCTGACTGGAAGTGGCAGGTGAAGTGAACTTCTGATCAGCTATGGTCACAAATCTGCTCTAGGTCTGATAGCTGCAGTTCTAGCACACATCAGACAACAAACAGTTCCTCAATGGACAAGGCAAAAGAGAGACCTTCTTTGCAACTACTGTGTCCATGCTCCATCTCACAAGTTTAGGAAGAAGACTGCAAATCCACTGCGGTAGGAGAAAGCGGGATATAACCTGTGTTATGCAATGAAGGCAACAAAAAAGGTTGAGTTAAAGGGACTGGAAATAGCACAGAAGTCCAGCATAAGGAAGAACATTATTAGTACAAGCTAAGAACATGAACCAGCCGTAATAAATTTAGGCTGGCAACGCAACATAGACCCAGCTTTCTGCAAGATTCTGTTGCTCTTCAGGTAACTGAGGTACAGAGCAACTGTTAAAGCAAGCAGCCTGGTTCTGGCAGCAGCATTACACTAAGCATCTACATACTTTGCTGTAACAAGCCGTTAGCTGTTCTAGATAGTTTATTCTGCCCCTTCTCATTTTGCTGTCTAATATGCATAGCTTTCATCTATCCCAGACATTTGTCATGACAGTGGTTTTTGCCCCTCATTTTAAAGGGCATCTGGAACATTGCATGCATACTACGTAGTATGCTCTGTCACTCTGCAGAACTTCAAATATTGCTAAGAGGACCCCCTGATGCTTGAGGTACGTTAGTACTTGAAATCAGTGAATTGAAACAAGCCACAAGTGCTTGCCTTAACCTCCACACTGAATGACAGATATTAAACTTTAACAATATACAGAACTGCTTGTTTGTTCTTAAGCATTTTTATTTAACCTGTCATCTGCATCTGCCTGTCAGACAACTTTTGCTTAAGTACTTGATAGTCTTCCCTCTGAGACCAAATCCTGACCTCAATATAATTTCACAGAAAAACAGAATCATACAATGGCCTAAGCTGGAAGGGACTTTAGAGATCATTTTAATCCAGCCTCCCCGCCGCCAGGGGGGCCGCCTCTCGACTAGATCAGGCAACACATGGGGACCGAATGGGAATTTCGGTAAGAGTCTTATTTACAACAGCATACAAAACCCTCTTTACTAGCCACTTCTGTGACTAGTGTACAGTTGTGGTACAGCAGCTCCCAGAGCACAAGTAATACACTTCTATTGCACTGAGTTTTACTTCACTTTATTAAACCTCCTTCTCGGACGGAGGCTTTGTAACTGTGATGTTGCATGGCAAGGGGACAGATGGGAAAACACAGGTGGACGCTTAGGCACAAGAAAAACCAGAACAGCTCTCATCTTCCTTTCCTTTTAGCAATCTGACTTGAATCCTCCCTGTAGTACTCTAGTCACAGTAATTCCGTCTCCTGGTTTGTTTCAGCCTTAACCTCTGCTAAAATGAACAGTAAGGGAAGCTTTAAGTAGTCAGGTTGTAGTTTTACAACAATTTCATGTCACTAGCTTAGTAGTCCCCAACACAAGCAATCTTCATTTTTAATGCTTTTTGCTCTCTCAGCTTAAGAGGAATTTAGGTACCATTTTCTTTACAGATCTTTTCATTAATTAGCTACAAATTAAACATAACAGAAGTAGAAGCTCAACCTGTATTTAGTTGTTAGGTGACTGAAGCTTAAAACACAGTTCTGTTGCTGTATATGCAGTACTGTAAGAATAAGTTAATCTTTGGAATGTACAAAAGGTAAAAAGATGTCAATTTTAAGCAGGAACAGCAGATCTATAGAGTAAAGTTGTCCTGGACAGGTTCAAGCAAGAATACAATACATTTAGAAAAGCGTATTCAGAGTGACAAGAAGGGTTTGTTTTGCAAGCTTTACTTCCAAATAATTACACTTGGTACAGACTGAACAGATATGTTAAGAGAAAACTCTTGCTGTTACTGTACTCTTAAGAAAGGCTTTCCTGTTGGGACAAAAGAGTTTCCATAGAGAAAGCAGAGGCTGTGTAGTTTAGCAAATAACACGGCCTGTCCTGTAGGCTTCAGAGTTCCTTCTGAAGTCCACAACTTGTGTAAGTGCATGCCTATTAGCAGTCAGATTACACATGGAAGCAATAGTGCGCTATTGAGTCTGCTGTTACAAGGAGAGTGGGTACTCTGAAAGCCAGTGTTCAGCAATTCTTCATACAAGTATTCTACCATTTCACCGCAATGGAGAGCGTCAAATACACCTTCTGTGATTTCATCTACATTACTGCAGAAAGACTGCCCATTAAATACAGCCTTTGCTTCTGTTCATCACCATGTAATGAGTATGGTAATATAAAAGACATTGTCTTAAATGTCTAAGTCCATATCCTAAAATAATGAAGTAAATATCAAATTCTGCTCAAACACTAGCTGTATGTATTTACTTGTATTAGGGCTGAAAGCTATCACCATCTACTCTAAGTCACGAGCTTCCTGAGTTCTCTACCTATTGCCAATCCTTAGTTTCACAGTGCAGAGATTACTGGTAAACACATTCATAGCTCAGGTTAATGGGAAAAAGAAGTTTGGAACTTTAAGGCTTTTTACTAAAAGTTCTCTTACAGATTTGTCGTAACGTGGATGCCTTCAAGTGCTATTAAAGCTGACTGAATAAAGCATACCTTTTTCATAACTAAAAATGGTTATTCTTCGGTTACTCAGATTTTTTTACCTTATCGATCAGAAACATGCTAGAGTGGGACTTAAGGCAGACATGTATTAACATAAAAAAATCATCAGTATCTTGCATTAAGCTGCTGGAAAAATTAGTACAGCATTAGAATAGTAAATGAAAGGAAAATGGACATTAAATATGTAGAAAATTAATGTCCTACTTAAAAGCCTACACAAATTATAGCAACGTTAGGCAATTAGAGAAGACCTGAAGGTAATTTATATTAACTTATAATAAACACATTAAAGATGAAGTACCACTCACAGCAAAAGGAATGTAGTGAGACTGAAGTTTAATATCTAGCATTTTTAAGAAACTGACTTCTAATGAAACAAAAATGGAATGCTGATTTCATAAAAATATACACATATAAAAGTATCTTTGTGCCTGAATTCCAAAACAGTTTCTCCAAAGTAGTGCTTCTAGAACTTTCAAGTTTTAATTATATTCAAAATATTTATCATTTGAATAAAGTTGGCAAATTACATTCTTATATTAATGTTTCTACGTGACACCTTCCTAAACAGAAAGTGGCACTAATTCAGTAACACGTCATTCATGAATGGAAATTTTTCCTTTTGCTCCCCTAAGAAAGCAGCAGAATATTACAATTTTAATATTAGAGTGCAACCCATTTGTTACTTCATCTACTACACCTTCCCCATTCTTTTATAGAGCAAGCTAGTCAAAAGTAATTGGGACAAAAAAAATAATAATTGAGTCAACAACAAGATGAACTGGGTTTTGGTTTCCGATGAAGGTTTACTGTATCTGTTTGAATAAAGTGATCTGATCTATCTTCAGAGGCTAGAACTCTTCTAACAGCTTCCTCAAAGGCTGCTGCAACATTAGTTGCATCTTTAGCACTGGTTTCAAAATAGGGATGGTTGCCGTTATTCCTGCACCAGTCTTGGGCTTCCTCTGTAGATACTTGCCTTTCATCAATATCAACTTTGTTACCCAGTATGACAAATGGAAAACTTTCTGGCTCCTTGACATCTGCATAATAAATGAATTCTTTCTTCCAGTTGCTTAAGTTTTGGAAGCTTTGAGAGTCATCCACACTGAAGGTTAGCAGGCAACAGTCAGAACCTCTATAGAAAGGAGTCCGCAAGCTCCTAAAGCGTTCCTGACCAGCCGTGTCCCATATCTGCATTGTAACAAAATGTCCATCGACTTCCAACTCTTTGTTTAAGAATTCCACACCTATTGTATGAAACAGCTGCGCGTCGAACTTGTTGGTGACGTATCTGTTCATAAGGGAACTCTTCCCAACTCCACCATCTCCTAGCAGTATTACTTTAAGGAGCGATGATTTTGCTGCCATTGTTATGGGAATAGATGCTTCTGGCTTCCTAGACCTGTGAAGATTAAGATAATCATTAAGAAAAGAATTGCGAGCAGAAGATTTTACACACGTAAATATTTAGAAAGTGTGAAAGTCAACCAACGCCAAATTTCACGTACAAAAGCAAAAAAACAATGCTACACAGGTAAAGTGTACTCTACTCATAGTACGAATACCCACTTGAGAATACTGTATGTTTAAGACCTCTCTCTGCGACAGACTGCAGACTGGGTGACCGTGTAAGCAGTACGTAGCACAAATTACTGCTCTGCCACTTAAAACACTTCTAACCCCCCAAACCCTCCAATGTCTGTGCAGAAGGGCAATGTTTCATTTATGTTCACTGAAAAAGATCCATGGAAGGAGGTGGAGTGAGAGGAGTTTTATGGAGCACATGCCTTGAACTAGTCATTTTGGTGCCATATTTTATTAGCAAAGTTATTTTTTAACATGTAAAAGTGAAGAGGACGCTTTAGGAATAAAGCAGGACACTATCTGTTGCAGTGGAATAACTGCTGTGCTTTATCCAAAATTGCAACCAGACAAGGAATGTTAAATCAACTCACAGAGAGCATGGTTGTCTGCACAACAAACGCAGATGTGTTTTTAATTTAGAAGTCAAGTGACTAGCTAACGGTGCGCAAACATTCAGTATATCACAATTTATTCCTTGCAGAACAGCTGTGATGAACGGAATACTATTACAACAGCAAATTCCCTGTTGCTGCTCCAAATGTTACGCAAGATACCAACTACTGAGGGTAACTCTACACTGACAGTTCAGTTACAGTAGGTGTCAACTTGTGGCAGAGCTGTCAAAAAGCCTGGAAGTGCTAGTGAAGAGCCTGGCTGCCAGCACAGGGACAGTGAATTAGTGGCACCAGTAAGCACTTTTACTAGCAGATTTTAGTGTTAAAGAAGTTTTTTAAAGTAGTTATCTCATTAGTGTTTTGTGCCAGCCGAAGGTTTGCCCTCATTACAGCAGTGTCATCTAACACATCTAACAAGTAATAAAGTGCTTGAATTGCTTTTGGGTAAAGTTTCATTTCAAAGAGCCCAAACTTAAGTTTCTCTATGAGGAAAGCTGCTGTTCCTATACCAGCTCAAAGTAATTCAACCAAGACAGGCTTCTCTGAAAATAGTGTCTATTTAAAATGGAAATGGGTCATAAGTTGCCTAGTCCATCTCCTTCTCTGAAGGAAGGAATGCGGTCTTGCCAGTTGTAATTAGCATTACTGGCATATACATCACCCACAGAGTATGGTTATGGAATAAATACCTGATACAAGCTGGCGTGAGAGTCATATGACTCTGTGCTGCCTTAGAACCAAGGCCAACATTAGAAGTGAGAAATTTCAGGAATTTCTTTTGTCTTTAACTTTCCAACTTTGTGTTAACAAATAAACATGCAATCTACAGCTGAAGCCTCAGTAGAAAGAAATTTGAAAACACAAGAAACAGTCCCTGCATCCACCAAAAATTTGTTCAGAGCAAGTAACTTTATCCATTCACACTGTGTTATTAAAAACAATGTTTACAAATCTAATATTTCTATCACAACAAAGTAAAAACTGCTTAAGAGCCACAAGTGGATCGTTCATTTATCTTTTGCAGAGTTATGAGATAATTGCTTCAGCTCAGGATACAAACACATACCTTTTGAGGTATGTGAAAAATCTTAACAGAGCCAAGAGCCTACTTGCACATGATTTTCACATTCATGCTGAAATATTTAAAATGGTCCAGAGTCTTCACTTATCTCCCTAATTCCTACTGTTGGTTAACGAATAAGTTATTTGAGCTACACCATTAGATAGTAGCATTTTCTTAGTAAATAATGCATTCATGAGAAAAGAGGGCACTGAATGTTTCTCTGTTCTTCCACTTCAGTGTAGGAACAAGTTACAATTACTTTTATTTATTTTCTTCTGTCCTACTGAAATCACAAGTTCCCTAGAAGACAATGAGAATAAAAAAGCCTGACTTAACAGAGTTCTGACTGGTACTACGCACTCGTTTCTGTAGCTTCTACAGTTTGAAGAACTTCAATTATTAGCATGAAATTCTCCGTGAAAACACATTGTAAATAAAATATAAGTAAGGAAACTCTGTCAACAGTATCTAGTACTTGTGTGCATCCAGAACACAAGAAGTTAATCTGCACATTTTTAACTACATGGACCATTACAGTAAAGTCCAGGAGACTGATGACCATAAAAATACTTTCACTGGGCAGACAATTATGTATCAGCCACAAACCATTAAAAGTGCCTTTTCAACTAGAACCAAACCAGCCCTTCTACACAACAGCTACAAAAGACTGATGAGCGAATTATCTCAATGGGACGTTGCAGGCACCATCACTCCTCAGGACATTCAGCTCCCGCAGTAGAAGCTGTCATGTGTAGATAGAAGTTGATGTTTTTGTAAATTTTTAATCCCAAATAAATAGGATATATGTTCAGTCATATAAGTACAAACTGGAACTGAGGCAGCAAAGAAGCATGCTTAAAGGCATTAGTAAGTATTTTTCTTAGGAAGCAGCAGTTACAGATTTTCTGACTAAGTAAGAGACTCATCTATAGCCTCACTGATCATGTGATTTAGAGGTGATGGTCAGTTTCAGCCCAGTAGGCTGCTGCATTTCCCACTTATACATTTTTAAGTTCAGATTTTAAAGAGCTTGATTTTTGCTTTTTTTTTTTTTTTAGAAGTTATGAAGTCTTGGTACTCCAACAAATAATAAAACGTTAATTCTCCAGGCGTCTTAAGGATTTAAATGTTATTTCTCCTATTACATACTTTGAACTCATCTGTATAATATGTGTTTAGACATTGTTTTTTGAAGGAACACTCAATATCTGATACATGTTTCTCAAGATTTATTACCTTAACAGTTCAGTTTAAATCATCATTCAGCATCTGAAAGAACAAAAACTACTTTTCTAATGTGCATCTGGAACATCAGGAACTGCAAGACACCACAGAATTACAGATAACTATTTGTCTGGTTATTTCTTACATTAGTTGTGCAGCACAGTATGAGTAGTCTCAACTTAGTACACCGAGGACTCTACTGTAAAGAGAAGATTCTTCCCTGATGTTCCTCTATCATTTCAATATCCAAAGAAACTCCGAGCAAATAAAAAGCAGATCCACTCCACCTCATTTTGATAATCAACTCTGAAATGCCTCCACCAACTTACAAGGACTTAAGCTCTTAAACCCCTGACTTCAATATTCCTGTTAAAAATCAGGGAATGGTTTCTACCGAATGCCATTTCTAACATGATCACATACCATAATACAAATAGTAACTTCATTGTCACCTCCTAAAATCTCCCTTTTAAACAGTGAGCTCAACTATAAGTCTGAAACATTTGCATTAGCAGTCCAAACATTTCCTGGCATGCTAAGCAATGTGAGAAATACTCAACCAAAATCAACATGCATTACAAACTCTTTGATTCCAGCCCCTCAAAGCTTTGAGAAACACCACTGCCTTGTCCAGTCTATCCATCTAGAGTTTCTTAATTCCATGACTGCCAGCTTCATAGCTGCCCTTTTTGAGTGCAGCTACTCCTTTTAACACTTAGATACTGAGACAACACTCAAAGAAAAAGGGGATTCTCAGAGTCTAGAAAACCATGGGAGCAATGCACAAAATTAGGCTAGGAATTTGTCTTTTCTTACTATCCTATAAAAATAATGTAATAGATTAAGGGGGAACTGCTTATGCCACAGTACTGAAGGCTGAAGACAGGTGCTGATCTCAAATTATGTCTATGCACCAAGATGGTAATTGCATCATACCTACATCAGCAAGCACACGTGAACTAGTAAGCAAACCGAGGTGGTTTGACCAATTTATAGTTTCACTTTCACCATACTGATACCAGACACAGCAGCACACCATAAAACCCAAGAAAACAAAAAACACACCACAGAGCAATGAAATCTCACCTTTAGTCCTGCCTCTTCTAACAAAAGACACCAAAAAAATGGACCTGTTGCAACAGCACCACTGATTTCACTCAGTATTCTTGAAGAAACAGATGCAACAGATGCTTCAAATTTCCAGACTACCGTTTTCCCACTTGTACCTACTTTCTAACTTGGAAACAGGCAGTAAAATTTATTTCAATCACTGTTTTCAGCCAGTGCTCACTGATGAACCCACCTGCTATATGAAACCAAGACTAAGCACAGAGGGTTCCTTCAAGATAGAGACATGGTACACTGTCCTTTAATATTGTTCCAGGGCAACTATTTGACTTTGAGAAGAATAAAAGAACCAAGGTAAGGCAGACTCAAGTTTGTTCCAGCTAATTATATTTATTTACAGCCTAATATGCTTTCAGACAAGACTTGTTAAAAGAAGAGGCCATCTTTGTTAAAGGTTTAAGAAAAAATTCTCTCAAAAAGTTACTGACAAGCAGAATTAGCAGTTCCCTAACTACAGTAACACTGGCTGTTTCGTAACTTCCTATCCTCAAATTCACACATAAACAACGTATCAATTTCAGCTTCAAAGCTTATTCAGAATTTTCTTATTTTGTTAAGCCATAGGTATCAGACAATAGTTCAAAAAGGCACACAAACACTTCAAGTATTTTGTCTGACAAAACCACTGGCCTTTCAATACAATAATGTAAACTTACTCCCTCATTAGTAACTTTTTTTTATTTGCACATTTACCAGGCTAGCATAGAAAAAAGTTGTTTCCTGTGCTTTGTTATTTGCAGTGGCTCATCAAAAAATTACATAAAGTGCTTCTCTGTAAAATGTCTGAAAAATCCAAGAACTATCAAAGCTGCAGCACAAAGGGCAGAAACTAGAATTAGGTAGTTTTCAACACTTAGACTTACTGTTTGTAGAGTTTTTAGATCTCTCAGGCCTCCATCACAACAGAGTATTTATACTTGTCACCTACAGTAGATTTGCAGGCTTCCACAAATCTGAAAAGAGAGGACAAAAGCAAATTTTCTCCCTTTTCTCTGCTTAGCCAATCCTTGTTCTTGTATTTGGAAGGTCCTGGTTTACACCCTGGCCAATGAAGTGGCACAAGAAAGTTTTTTTAGTGTATAAAAGAGGCCGCAAACATGTCTGACCTTGAAAGATTTTGCTCTTGATTCAAAGCGAAACGAAGAAGTATGAAGCCAAGATGCTGCACGCTTTGTACTTGTGAATGCATTACAAGCTTGGACATTAATCAGCTGCAAAAATGACCTTCCCCTCCGCAGGGCACCAGCGTAAGAGTTGAGGATCTGACCACTTGTCAGCTGCCTAGTTCTCTGGAAGCCCTTCAATCACATGGCTCAACCTACTGAGATCCTAATCATCTTTCAGGGCTTCCTTCCTTTATCCACGATTTCACCATCGCACTGTAAAGGCAGTTTGTGTTCTCTGCTGGCTAGAGCTTTAATCATTTGATGACGGGTTATCTGAAAATTGCCTCTAGTTGTAAACCACCTAGGCGCGCTTTATCTAACACTAGAACATCACTCAAGCTTATTCTTAGTAATTTGTAAGATGAGCGCAACCCAAACTGAACCAACATACAGTTGTTGCCACTCATTTGTATGCCAAAAAAGCTGTATTTTGAGGTTTCTTTCTAAGGTTATTTAACTCCTATGTAGTTCTAGGGGTCTAGTTCAAAATGGTTGCCTGGCATGACTCAGGGCTATGAAAGATGCAGCCTCCATGTGAAGGAATCTTTAAGTCTGCATAACCCTTGGGTCACGAAATCATCCCAGTACCAACTGCCAGAATCACTTCTAACTTGTATCTAGTCAGCAAAACACATCAGGAGAAATACCTACATTTATACCTCTGCCAGTTTTATCTTGCAGAGATCTGGCCTTCACTCTTCATCTTGTTTCCCAGGTTCAAGTAGAATAAGCAAACTACTATTTATTCTTATTTAATCAGAGTTGACATTTCTTACCAGCTCATAGTTGAGCATCTCCCAACTTAAATATTCCATTGCCTTCAGCCAACTTCAGAACACCCTTAGGTGCTGCTCATCTTGGTCCAACATATCTAACAATTCCCAAGTTAACTGACGTTCTCCTTGCAACCTGCTTCTCTGTTACTGCTTCCACCCTTTCAAGAAATCATCAAGCAATTATTTCCGCTCAAACGTGATCATATTTCTCTCTTGCATTAGTTCCCCTTCTCCTCTGGGGAATCTCAGCAAGAGCAGCCTCTACTGGTCAGGCTACATTGTGCATTCATGTTCTTCCCAATATAACTATGTGATCAAAGCCCATCTCTAAGGGATTAAGTGGGTTACGCTGTACCAGGCCAACCTACTGCCTGCTCCGTAGAGAATGAAAACAAAAACACCAAGGAGAAGGAACATTATGCA